TCTACTAATCTTACTCATTTCCTATAATCAAAGACCATATCATAAACTATATAAAAAACCTCATAGTTCTATAGAATTGTTTTTAAATCCATCCAGCTGTTAATTCAAACAAATCATATTGCACTGAAACAAACCCAAGATTTTAAAGATCGCTCTAAAAAATGTTTATCTAAATAATCTTTTATCCTCTTACCGAATAAATGAACGCATCAATGATTATACCATTACAGATATTATAAATAAGTCAAATCTACGTATGCCAGTTTAGTTTTAGCCAAATGCTGAATTTTCACTGAGCTATAATAATAACTGGAGTAACCACTCTGTGTTTTAAAAACGTACCACTGTTTTTGATGGTTTTGTTTCAGAGTTTCGTTTCGTTAGGCTGGCCGGGTGATCGGGTTGGTGGGACTTGTCAAATTAGAGGCAAAATCAAGATGGCGTCATCCTGTCTTGTTGATGATAGTAAACAAAAATCTGCCGACTCAACATTATGATTGCAATATAAGTTTATTTATTTATTTTACGAGCAAGAGCAACCCATTTTAACAAGATCATAAACCGATGGTTTTAATTTAATCAAATGCCATAGGGCTATTGGCCTAAACCAATATCTCCAAACCAGGAAACTTGACTAGCCTATTTTCACCACATAGCTTGAAAAAAAGATAAATAGGTTGGTATTTATTTACTTTCAAACAAAAACAATTTATAATGTTTCAAAATAACTTTAAATACAGAGGTTTTAACATGCAATAACTTAAATAAGTTTTTGATACAAGTCCTTGAAATAACGAATAATATAACTCCAAATAAATAGTATGGTAGGTTAGAATGAATTGGAATTATTTGACAGCATCCCACCAACCGATCACACGGCCAACCTAACAACACGAAACACAAAAAAAAAACCAGCCAAAACAGTGGCACGTTTTTCTCTAACGTTTAACCATAGAGTAGTGACTCCAGTTTATAATCTATATCTCAATGTGAATTTTGTGTCACAAACGCTGAATATTTACATCTGTTGCATTGAGGAAATGGTATTTTGCCAAAAGATAATCTAGAATGTAAGCGTCAGGTGATAGACTTTAATCATTCAAAATCTGTCAAGTGGTTGATTCAGAATTGATAAAATAAAAACACTCGGTCATGTTTTAATATATAAATGAATGAATGATGATCCATACCGTTTATTAGTATACGTTGGTTTGGATTGTTATATTTTAGCTAAACCAATGGGATAGATCAAAACATGTCTACCTAAAAGGCAAACAATTAAATTTGAAATGGCTGTAACGAAGATGTAACACCAACAATAACTAAGATTTAAAGTAGCTTTGGTGTGTTGTATTGTAAAAGTGACTCACTATCACTGGTTCTTGGGAAAAGTACCGGTACCGAGAATCGTGGTCGAAATGTGTAATTGGGTAGGCGCCTACGCACCAATAACAGATGGCTCATAAGAACAGAAAATATGCTACTATTACACAAAATGCTAACCGAGAGAGCATTGCCTGTCAATTCGTAGGCAGCGCCACCAGCATACATACAATGCACCAGCATAGCAATGCTGGTGGCGCTGCCTACGAATTGACAGGCAAAACTCTCTCGGTCAGCATTCTGTGTAATAGTAGTATGTTTTCTGTGCTCATAAGCCTATTATTGGTGGATGGCAGCACAATAGCGGTAAGTCGAAAACGAAAGTGAAATATTGGAAGAGAGAGTTTAGTAGGAAAAACACTGTAACAATCACAACAAAATTGTAAAGGTCTTCCTGGATCACAGCAACAAGAATCAAGAATTTATTTTGATCATTCAACAATTACATGCCATCAGTCTCGTCATAAGAAAAATTACAAAATGTTGTAAAAATATATAATTAATAAAAGTTAAATAGCCTACAACAAATAAATTACATCTGCATCATGCATCACATCATACATAAATTACAAGGTACATTTACATAAACTAGGCTACACATTCAGCAATGGCCTACATTAATGAACAGTCCAGATTTAAAAATTCAAAAGTGTTATAAATAGGGCTGTTGACCAAAAAGTGTTTAATCCTGTCTTTAAACTTGTTTAACACGTAGAGTGCGGCCGTTCCCGATCGGGTACGGCGCTTGGCCCCCGTACGGTGCGTCCGAACCCCATCGGGAACGCTCGGTAATGCCTTTTGTATATCTTCGTTTTTGCTCTAGCGTCGGCCAAAAGCGGACCTATACGACGTTAGCGTGTAGTATGTGACTTGCATTTTGTTGTGGTGTAGGTTGGTAGTAAATTTCCCCGTAAAATCCCAGTCTGGCAATCTCAAAAGTCTTCTTTTTGTCCCGTCTTTTTCCCTCCATTTGGTAATACAATTCCAATGGGACCGGCTATGTTCCAAGCAGTGCTGCTATCTGTGGGTGTTTAGCGAACTACATCGACTCTCGTTGTAAAGCAGGACATCCCCTCACGTTATTTGCTATTCGTCAGACCAAAATTGGAAAGCCAATCAAAGCGGCAATCGGGTTTACTCGACGCTGAGGGCTGCGCCGCACTGGGGATACGCCCGCTATTTGACGTGCCGCAGCGAACGTGTTAATGGCAGGTCTTTGATTTCAGTAGGAAGAACATTGTACAGCTTAAGTACAGTGACCTCAAAACTTGTTAAGGTCCTTGAATAAGTATTGTAGGTACTTAATAAATATGTGATTCTTTTGCCTAGTAGAGTAATTGTGTAGATTTTCACACAACAATAAATTGTGGACATTCTTTTACACATAAATTAAGCAGTCCAAAACATAAATACAGTAGCTGGAAGAGTGAGTAGTAGCAGAACAAACAAAGGCTTGCAGTGTGCTCTAGGCCTAGTTCCATACATTATACGTACAGCTCTCTTTTGCAGGATTAGTAATTTGACAACAGAGGAGTGGTTACCCCAGAGAATAGTGCCATAGTATAGATGACTAAATATGTGTGCATGGTAAACAGTTACAAGTTCATCAATAGAAACAATCATACTCAAAACTCTAAGTAGAAAACAGAAAACCGCGATCACCCACTTCAGAAGTGATTATTTAGGATACTTGATACAACAGCCATCAAAATTCCATTAATGTGTCGATTGTAGGCAATTGGTGGCAATGATTTGAAAATGTAAATTTCCCAGTCTTTTACAATTAGGCCTAATGTTTACGGTATTTTTCCCGGTTATCAAAACTCAAGTAGAATTTCATAGACATAGAATCTCCAGGTTCCTGACATGGATGATGGTTATTTTAATTTAAAGTTAGGCTACACATTAATGTACTTGCGATTAATTAAATAGGCTACGTAATGTAAGTCAAAAAGTCACTTAAGCTATCTCACTTGGTTCATTGAATGGTTTCTGATTTGCTTACAAAATGTGAATGGAAATGTTGCAGTATTTGTAAACAACATTTAAAGTAAACATATTAGTGACAGCTAGAAGTGAGAATATCAATCTAAGCAGCTGTTCGTTATTTCATAAATGACAAATAGTAAACATTGGGAAAAAACTTGACAAAAATCAAACAAAATTGTGTTTTTGATGGTTTGTTATTTTGTTTCCAAAGAAGTGAAACCATATTTCTATAGCCAAAGACACTCTTACCAATCCAGTGAATATAGAAAAATTATTGAATCTTGATCGGTACCGGTATTCTTGTTTTCTCGGAGTAGGCCGCGTAAAATGACATTTTGGCGTTACAGACAGAATGACAGAGGGACAGACAGACAAACGGAAATTGAGATAAAACTAATTTTGGCTTTCTTAGGCTATGAAATGTAAAAATAACAAAAAACTGCATGATTCTACGCAATGTACATGTACAGAAAAAATGTAATTGTATTTATGTAGATTACTGAGAATGGCCATAATAATAGCATAGATAAAACATACTCCCTTAGTAGATTTCTCATCCTTATGGAACAGCTGAAGACAATTTTATTGTTAGTTCATGTACGGTTTATGTAGAGGTCGTGTTTTGTTTACAATTTGTTTCCCGTTATTACAGCCATTTAAAACCTCGTTTAACCAAATAATACGATCTAATCATAAACAATAACTTGTCTCCTAGTTATATAACCAAACAGTAAAGCACAAATCAAGAAATTAACCCTAAAATAATGGAAACAAAGTTTCATCGACACTAGCGCCTTTGTGTCACGTACTTACTTGATACTTGATACTTGTATTCTTGATCCTTGACTGACAATGTCAGATAGATCGCGTCATGTCTTTAAAGATGTAAAGACTTTTAAAGACTGTAAGTTACTATAATAAAACTAATATTTACAACTACTGGTGGTATGGCGGACGTTTTTACTGTAATGGGAAGAGTGGTATCTCATTTAGCTCCCCCAGCGAATATAGTGGCCTATTCACGAGGGCCTTATGAACAACTTTTTTAAATTCTGTCATGCCCATCTCTCGAACTTTTGACGTACATGAACTAGACACGAAAAACGTGCTTCAAAATTTACAATGGGATGAGAAGTCTACTTGTGTTGGTTAGTCTATGATAATAGGCTATATTTATAATGTTATGTGAACTGATAAAACAAGTGAGTGAAATAACACTATTTCACTATTGCTGTTATCCTATTAATATTTACCAGCTGAAAAGAATTGGACGAGGAAGTAATAGTGTGACAAAATAATAGTATTATCTTAACTGTTTCATAAAACCAGAAACGTATTGGACGAGGAAGTAATAGGTTACTAAATAATAGTATTATCTCACCTTTTCCAGAAAAGCTAAGGAACGTTCCCGACTAATATTGTAAGTGTTTTTAATATTATTATTACTAAAATTCGCTCTCAGAATTATGTTTAAGGACATGCACATATAGCCTAGTTGGGCACATTGTACAAACACCAAAAGTTCTATATATTCTTCACTAATTTTATTGATCACAAAATAGGCCTATACTGGTGCATGGTCACAAACAGAACTTTCTGATCGACTGGGTGGTAAGATTTATACTTACTGTGTGATAGTTGTTGTTATTTAGGGTGAATTCAATAGGGGACAATTTGTTCCTTGCTCTCCATTGACGATAAGTCAAATTTCTATTGGGATCAGGTGGAACAAGACTTCGCCATCTGTCTCTTACAGCCTTATACCTACAAAATGCATGGGTTGGATGAGTTATGAAAGTGTAGGAGTAGGCCTATACTAAATAGGCTATTCAAATCAAAGAAAACAATCTTTGCAACACTTGTGAGGCCTAGGTTAAAAGTATTACCTTAACCCTGCATCTGGCAGCTACTGTAAATCTCTGCACTGGCAGGCTATTTTTACCGTATAGGTTACTTTAGAGCTGTAGGCTATAAAAATTGTGCTCTACCATACAAAAGTATATAGCCTACTAGGCTATTTGATTTTTTATTTTTCAGTAGGCTACATTAAGTTACAAGGAACAAATTTAAACCATTGTCAGATGGTAAAAAAAAAAAAAAAAAATACTTAGAACGTGATACTTGTAAGAACAAAAACGAAAATTAGGCTTGTAAAAGTTTTCTAAAGCAGAGGCTTGGGAAAAGAACAAAAACTAGGTACGAAGAAACACAGATTTAACTTAATTAAAAGCTGATTCACATAAGGTCTTGAGTTTTTTGGCACCACTAAAATTGCAACAGCTTTAGGGTAGAAACACACATACAGCGATTGGAGCGGAGCAGGCAGGGCGATTCAGAGCGAGCTGTAGCGGCGCAACTGAGAGCGACTGACGTCGCACACATACAGCAATTAGCGAGAGCGACACGAACGGGAGCTTGATCATTTTCAAGATACAACAATCACATAAGACCTAGATGGAGCATGTTAGCCGTGTCGTGAAGCCAGTATTTTTCACTAATCATCACCAAGATGGCGGCTGCCGGCTGTGATGAGCCCTACTAATAGCGAGTGTAACTAATTAAATGTTAGTTTATATCAATGATATCCGTGACAATAACTTACGCCTTTGTATTACTGTATAAATAAACATTACTAACACCATGACCTTCAAAATAGGCTTTCAATTTTTTTTCTAGCGTTTACTGTTTCTTAAAAAAAAGTTAGATTACATAATTGACAACAAAAACTTTTTGGGCAATTCTGAAAAGCTACCAATTATTTTATAATATATATGTATCTATATCGTATAAAAGTTTGATAAATTTCTGGCGTTTGGTTTACAACGTACGAAATTTCAAAGTAACAAGATAGTTTCTGACACTCTTTATACAACTCTCCTTTATATTCTCATATTAATTTCCTTTAAGCTGGGTTTTCCTAGACGCGGAGTCGGCCAGCGGAGAGCGGACAACGGAGAGCGGAATTGAAATTAACATGGCATTCCGCTCCGCTGCTAGGAAAACAGTAACATTAAATTGCCTAAGACCAGCTGAGTCCGCTCTCCGTTGTCCGCTCTCCGCTGGCCGACTCCGCGTCTAGGAAAACCCAGCTTTATAGTCTGTCATATTAATTTTTGTGAAAGAGCTAAAAAATACTAATTTTTAGATGAATACCGGTACAAAGAATAAAACTAAGAACATTTATATGAACCCCGTGTTATTTTCTAATTAGTTTAGTAACTTTTCTGTATAGCTTCAGACTTGAGTGTCTAAACTGTATTACAAGTGAGGTTGTAGGCAGAATCTGCCCGCATGGCGCGACGGGTAGCCCCTATAGTACAATTTAAATTACAACCAAACTACACCAGCTGAAAAAAAATATATGATAAAAAATGAACTCTAGCTACAAATCCATTGTTTTTTAACTTAGGCTACCTGACCAAAAAAATAAAAAAAGTAGCAGCCGACAAACTGTTTCATGTCATATTTTAAAACTCATTTAAGAGCACCCGGCACCAACTTTATTTGAAGATATAAAATAGAACATATTAACTCTAAACGTTTTAATTAGAACCAATAGTGTCCTAGACTTATTGACATCTTTCATACGAAGTTTCAATGATTTACCTGTAGTCTAAGTAGGCTAAATGTCAAGTTATTTTGAAGCGGGACATTGAGTTTTGGTGCCGTTTTCATTGGCATCCAGCGCTTCTATCCTACAGTAAGATGGCGGACCTGGCTTCAGCTGCTTGAATGTTAGTTACATAGGCGTGCTCCATTTATTGGTTTCATGTGATCTTTGCCAAGATATCACATAGTAAGTTCGCACTCAATTTGCAGCACAGCAAAACACGTGGTATCATTTATTTTGTGTGCTTCAAACCGATCGGAGAGGTTGCATGGAATGAATCTAGGAAATGAGGAGGTATATGGTGAATATTGCCATTTTTGTCCAGTTCCTGATTCATGCAATACATGTCTACCTCAACCTCTGAATACATTGTTTCAAAAAGAGGAGGCTTGAAGGTTCGAGAAGGTTCCAAAACGCTCTGGGTAGGTTCCGTTTCCGTTAGAATGGGTGTAGCCTACAGAGCGGCCTACTGGCAAAAGTGGAACTAAAAATGTCCACAATATCACACAATGCCCGCTCCGCTCCAAAACGCTATAAAAACAAACAAGATTGTTCCAAAGTTAACCGCCCCGCTCCACTACGCTTGCAACAGCGGTTTGTGTGCGCGTTACTACTAGATTGTATGGATTTGATTTTGTCGCTCTAAATCGCGCCGCGCCGCTCCCAGTCGCTGTATGTGTGTTTCTACCCTTAGTTAGGCGCCCAGTTAAAATATAAACATCATCTAGGTAGCAATGTATTTGAAGTTTAATTATTCCTTTTTGGGTTTTTAGAGTAGTAGACTAACAGCCGAGATTAGCGATGACTGGGGGTTGGAGGTGAGTTCCCCTTCTGTTAGGTTAGGTTGAATCAGACAAGAGGCACTTTTGCCCACTGAAAAACTGTAACTTGGATACTACAACACCTAAAACAGTCATCTGCTACATAAGGCCTATTTCACCGTTTTCTTTAGTTGATACATTCCACACACATATCTGAAAAACCCATGTGGGCTGACACATGTACCTAACGTAAAAATAGACTTTATCTTAAAAAAGATGAGGCAATTAAAAGAGTGCCGGTTAATCGTAGTCATCTTTTAAAAGCTAAGTTAAATGAAAAGTAGTAGGGGCCATTATACTCACTCACACCATAAATACCACTCGGCTATTTTTCAGTGGGGGTACCATTCCCTACAGTTAAGACTGAGTTAAATCATATTTTTTTAATTATTCAGGAATATATATATATATTTATATATATATATAGGGTTAGAAGAAAAACTTACCTCTCTTCATCAGTTGTTAACCTGCCAAGCTTCTGCCATTCTGGGTTATAATTATCTTCATTCTCCTTAGGGTCTGAGCTAACAAATTCAAAAAATTCATAGTCATTTTCATTGTTGTTTCCCTCCAAAAGAACTTTTTCTTCATCATCAGATTCCTCTTCATCACTACCTTGTGGTTCTTCTTTTATTTTACTTTTAGAATCTTCAATGTAATTAGTGTGCTCTTGATCATCAGATTCTTTTTTTACACTTGCGATAGGACCTTCCATTTCCTTGGATGAGAGGACATCAGACATATTTCCTTCAACGATTGTCACATTTTCTGATGCAAACCCATCATTATTGACCTTGCTGTCAGCATCATTTGATTGATCCATGGCTATTGATTTAAGGCAGGTTTTATCTACATTGGTTATTGTGCTTTCATCCATCGATAATAAAGAGAAACAAGTATTATCATCCAGATCAACGTTCATTGATAACTCCTTCCAAATTTCATTAAATTTTTCATCGTCCAACTGGTTTTCAAGTTGAACTTGGGAGTGATATTTTTCCAACGTTTCAATATGGGAGGAGCTTTTCATCATAGCTTCAGTTAAGGATTGACAAGCTATCTCAAAGTCATCTAGTTTTGAGGTATCGACTTTTGAGGAATCAGCTACAAAGGGATTTTCTTGATCAGCTTTAGAACATTCGGCTTCAGAATCACCACATTCGTCCAATACAATAAAGCCTGAAGACATATTTCGAGAGAGACAACTTGGTTGCCACATCTTCAATAAAGATTTTGCTGGTGCTTCAAAACATTGCAGTTTCGATGAGAATTCTTCTGAGTCAACAACAGGATTGTTTTCTCCAATTCTCAATTTTTTCTCAGTAATGGAATCACTATCTTCATTGGTTTCTTCTATTGGTTCAAGTCCAACATGTTTCCGTTTTAAGTTATTCTTTCCTTGTGAGCATTTGACATTCAAAGGCGACACATACCCAAAAAAAGTATCCCCTACAGATACATTGTTCGTATCTTCTGCATTTCTTGACACATTGGGGGTGCTATAAAACATCCCTTGATTTGATACTTGTTTAAAACTTGAGACCTCACTTCCTTGTGACTCAACTGCCGATTCAGTTTGAATTGTATATTTTTGAGGTGTGGTGTATAGATCTCTTCTTTTACCTAAACTTTCTTCAACGTTGCATGTATGCCTATTGTCTTCATTTGTCTTTTCATTAACAACATATTGAGACTCAAGTTTGGGATCCTCAACTTCCTTACACTCACTTGCAGCATTTGAGTTACTATTGGATTCATTAGACCAACATGGAAAACACTCATCATCACCCATATTTTGGGTGGATTTAGGTAACTCTTCACAATTATTTACGTCTGAATTTGAATTCAGTTGGTTTCCAGTTGAATTGGTTTCAAGTTTGTTGTTTGCAAGATCAATTGGTGAATTTTCGGAAACATGGTTTAAAATATTACAATCTTTATAAGAACTTGTAGAAAGGTCTTTTTCTTCACTCGAACCAACATTGAGTTCTTCATTGGGTTCTTCATTGGAATCCCCTACTTCTAAACCGTTGAATGAAAGACTAGTTTGATCACCACATTGTTTTTCACTAGTGTTTATATTCAGGATTTGTTTTTTGTCAGTGATTAAGACAACTCCCTCAACAGAAGAAATATCATTCATGATTTCAGATTTTAATTCACTATCTAAAAGTGAAAGCACTTTTTCAGAACTGTTTTGAAAGACTCCTTGGCAAGACACTGACTTAGGATTCTGAGTTGTTGGTGAACCATTATGAGTACTACCATCATCACACTTAGGCGTATCTGTTGCCATATTTTGAACTTCAAAATCAGGTGTAATGTTTGTAGTAAGATTATAATTGTTAGGAAAGCTTGGTTCATTTACATTTGAATTATCATTTGTGACTTGGGTTACACAAGAATGTCCATCAAAGCAATTTTCATGATCTTTATACTCAGATAAAGTAGATTCAAGTAGATCAAACTCAGCATCAAATGTTTCACTTTTATTTACAGTTATGTTATTGTTTTTGTTTGGACTTGGAATGGTTTCTTTCATTTTCAAATCATTGTTTTCACACAAATCACCCATTTCTTAAAAGAAAAAATGAAGCAAAAAACAAATAAAATTCTCTTTTGGAGACAAGTTAAACTTAAACTTTACTTGAGCCTAGACATACATTTACTTTGATACTGTACTCAGTGACTTTCAATGTTTCAAAAAGAAAATTGGGCTTGAGCAATTTCTTTTATCTGAAACTGATTATCAATTTTCTTTACAAGGGGGGTTGTTCCAACACACTTTAGGCTAAAGTAAGCTAAAATACTGTAAATTCAATAAAGCATTAGGCCTAAACTTACTTATGCCTATTTTGTTCAACATTGGTTAACTTAGGTTTAAATATGACTTTGATGTTCTTGGTAACTTTAGGCTAATAGTTGTTAACTTAACCCTGTTCAATAGGTTTATTTAACAAGAGGCTTTACTTTACTTGACTGGTTGAGTTGCACTGAATTAAGCTTGCACTATTCAGTACCACTTTGAAAAAGGGGCTAGGGTATCCATACAATTTGACTAGGATAAGTTTAAAGGAGGAGTTTTGCCAAAGGATGGAGATTCAATTGTTGAGAACAAAGAAAATAAAAGGAAAATTGTTATAAAGAGTATGTAACTCAAGTCACAAAGTATGTCAGCACTAGCAAGACAATGTGTCACCATGCTTTGGAGTCTTTTCTCACATATTCAAAGAACATTTTTTTTAACACGTCATACAGTAGTTTATCTATAAGATAATAAACACACAACAAACTGAGATAATTTGGAGTTTTTAACTATTTTAATGTGTAATAACGAATTGTGGGTTCGGAGAGATTTGATGACAATAGCCTAAACTTATATCTTTTAAATAGGTAATGACTGTCTCGCTTATTGAAAATAGAAAAGGCTTAATGCATGTAACTACATTTAGAGTCCATAAATATGTTGGTCATACCACTATAAGCAGTTGTCATTTTTTGATAATATTAATTTTGAACTTATCAATAAACATAGTCGTGGAATGAACAATCTTCAACGGCCGCACATAACCTCAATTTCAATTAGTCAATTCAATTCAGTAGTACTTTTTCTTCTTTTCTTCGTTTACTTTCTTCATTTCTTTTCTTCTTCTTGTTCACTTAAAAAGCCGACTTGGTTGAACTACCATGTAGCCACTGAGCTATAATTCTAACTGGAGGTAGCACTGAATGTCAAAGATGCGTGTCGCCAGCCGCCATGTTTGCGTGAGTCTGGTGTCATAAGAAGCCATATTATTGCTATAACTATTATTATACTTGGCTTAAAATACCTACTTTGTATGGTCGCCATTTCAAAGAAAATTATTAAAGTATTAAAAGTATTCAAGTATGACAAAAATACTCACTGCGGGAACGCGCCAAGGCGCCACCACGTCAACCCGCCACCAAGTCAACCCGCCATCAAAAAGAAGAAGAAGTTTGAGGTGGCGGGTTGACGTGGTGGCTCGTTTTCGGGGTGGCACGTTGACTCTAGCGTGCACGACAACCCGCCACCTCGGAAAAATGTGTGGTGGCGGGTTGTCGTGGTGGCACGTTGTCCTGGTGGTGCTTAGACATGTTCATACACGTCAACCAGCCACCTCTTTAGTGTGGTGGTGGTTTGACGTGGTGGCTGGTTGACGTCTACGTGCGAGGTGGCAGGTTGACGACACCGAACATTGAGCGTACACGACAACCCGCCACCTCATAAAATAGTGATGGCGGGTTGACGTGGTGGCACGTTGTCGCTTACATGCGAGGTGGAGGGTTGACGAGAGTTAACATGGGGCGTACACGACTACCCGCCATCTTTGTTGGCAAAAGCCGCTGTTGTCTGTGTATTATAAAATGCATCTCTTTTTGCAGTTTACCTGGACTTGTGTTATCTAGTTTACTTTTAAGTTAACTAGACATTAGTTATTGTGAATTCATTAATTTTCGACTCGTTTTCCTAAAAAGATCTGCCATAGAAATAAAGTACACGCTCATCCACGCAAGACAATTTTTCCTTTTAATCAACGGTTATTGTTTAAAAAAACTGTTGTAAGATAAACTAACTACAAATTAACGACTTAGGGTCATTCTAGAATTAAAATAACAATATTTGTTATGTTTTCGCATATTTTTATTGAAGACAAAAACAGGAAACTTTAATATTTTTGAAAAATAAGTTATTAGTTTCTTATGATTTTTTGTAGGTGTATACCTGGTATAATACCCATACTTATTTTCTTTTTCAGCATTATGACAATGAATTACAAAATAAGTTACCTAACAACTTCATCAATTAATTGTAATTCACGTGTGTATGGCCTAAACAAAAATTATGAAAATGTATTGTTCGGTTATAATTTCTCTTAAAACCGTATTGTGGTGAAAATAATAATACATTCAACCAAAAACATAAAACAATACATCGTTGATACAGAGTACAACAAACTAAAATGTACTTTGTGTGGACTAGCGCGCACCTGTTTTTCTATTTAGAAGAATTTGAGAAAGGATACAGAACTAGACTCGACCCAACCGGTAACGTACTTTGACCTCTTGAGTCAAGGGTATTGCCCAGAGAAGTTCATACCAGATAGATATATTCCAAAAATCTCATTAGGAGATATCTTAAACCAAGATTTCTATTGAATTTATCATGCTCTGCTTGAAATTCCATTTCATGCTTCAGAATACCGTACCGTTACTTTGGTATTATTCGGAGGCCACTTGTTTTCTAAAGGGATTTTTTTACCAAAAAAAAGACAAAAAAAAACACATGATTAGAAAGAACATACTTACTGTCCAAATATGGAATGATTGCAATTGCAATTAGTGGTTTTTGAGTTCTGCCTCCCAGAAGACAAGATTGAGTTGAATGCGTCACCCCCCCTAGCTGACACACGAACTCCGCCGAGTAGATACTGAGTAAATACTGCGCGCTGTAGCGGTTATGTTAGGTTGGGTTTCCTCGTTTCATTATGAATCTAACAATACAACATGAGTGACGATACCTGAGATACAGGCGGGGACAGGTGATGCGTGCGCTCCGGCCATTGGTCAACGACCTGACCTTGGCCTACTTGGAGGGGATTTGGCGATGGTATGACTCATTTGGTATCATTCCATCCATAACGAAACTAAGAAAGTCCTACAAACATATTTTTATGATAACCCAACCTAAGATAACCGCCGCAGCACGCTGTATAAGGGTGGCCTCCGGATAATATCAAAGTAGCATTAATACCGTACTTTTACTCTTGGCACAATGGGTTCGGGGCATTCCACTAATGTACTGTTGAAAATTGTATGAAATAATTGATTCATATTTAAAAGTATCTTTACTAACTAAACTAAATCTGTGTACAGCAGTACAGCTTGTAAACAAATCAAATATAAACAATAACAATAATCACATAATAATGACATCTATCTATCCATCTATCATCTACTAAATCTATCTATACTATTATAAAGAAGAGGTGGTGTTTGTGTGAGATAAAATATAAGCTACTGAACCGATGGAACTCAAATTGGACAACAATCAAGCTACCGCTCCGAGGATTAGAACTACCTCCCCACCTTCGATATTGAACTAGTATCTGCTCCACGGGCTTTCAAAATTCTGAGGTGAGGGATTTTTAACTTATTTAATACGCAAGCAGGTTTTTCTGTGACATTTACTCCTCCGAAACTACTACACCGATTGGCATGTTTTTGGTGTCATTTGGAAAGAGCGTAACGTGAAGTTGTGCAGGAAACTTTCTTTTTAGGTAAATAATTAGGGTGAGGCCCTGGGGCCCTTTACAGGTTCATATTTCTCCATAAGATTAATGAGAAACAGACATTGTTATGTAACTCCAGCTTTTGCCAGAAGTTAAAAATGAGAAGAAGAACATATGTTAATTGTAAACATTATGTAATTTACACAACTATGTGGTAGGTTGATTTATGCAATTGATTATTGAAATGAAGAAAAATTCTATAACCATAAGTTATAAAAATTATGTTATTGATATATTTTAATTTTAACAGTAGGGTAATTACAATGTAGGGCATACATTTTTGTAAAAATTTGATTGCTATTTGTTTAAAAATTCAATCTACTTAACAAGTGTTTGGATTAGGCAGTATGGACTTAATTGGTACATCTTCCCGTTGCGAATCACGGGCACAGCAGCTATAGTTCGGCCGCTTAGAAAACGACCTGCGCGCTCATGCTAAACCAATGCTGGAGGAGGTCGTTTTCTAAGCGGCCGACCTATAGTTCCGTTTATTCACTAATTGTAAATAAATTATAACGTAAAGATATAATTGACAGTTGGTAGGAAGATGATTACACTAAACAGGTCGCCAATTGTTTTCAGATAACGTATTATCTGGTATTATCTCGTCACATTATGGTATTTGGTAAGTGACGTTTTAGTACAATTTTAAAGAAACGTGTCCAATATCATTCAAAACAGTGATTTGGATTGTTTTGTCTAAAAATCTTTCAAAAAGTATAATCCGACGACTAAATAAAATAAATTAATACAAGAAATGGAATAGTTTTATCAACAGCAGAATATTAGTTTGGTTCTCTTTTGTGATTACTACGTGAAATGAAAACAGTATTTAGGTTGGAAATTAAAGGACAATCGCGATCTCGCAACTACGGGAAAGTGAACTGACCTGAGTGACCCGACACCTCAATAACTGGAATGGCCTGTTGATGTGAAAGAAAAATCTAAGAAATGCCAGATTAAGTCCATTCGTAGAAACGTGCGAGGGGATTAACGGGACACCCCTGTATTCTGTTCCCTAATATTTCCTTTAAAGTTCCCAGTACTGACTGTTATGGGTTTGTTTATATTAAACAATCGGCCAAATACTTTTCTCCAGGTGTCCACGTCTACATTTTACAATATGCATTTCGTTCACCTTTCCCAGTAATAATTCGTGGTTCGTTCCTGATTTTTTAATAATGAGGCATACTGTGCTATTGTTCTAAACATACGAGAGATATTCAAAAAGGCAAAAAGAAAGAAAAAAGTGTTGAGGTAATAACAAGCCTATATTTTAATCAGGAAAGTGTTATCATCATGCCAAATTTCAGCCTAATCCCGATGTGCCCAATGCATTGTTATTGAGTGATTGAACCCCAAACAAACACACAAACATTCATTTGTAATATTAATAAAGTAGCACTGTACTTTAACGTATGAATCAGGCCGTAACTTGAAATAAACGCTTAGGCCAGTTACATTTTTAACATCCAAATGTAATATTATTTCGCCAAACAGCGTTGATCAGTAATTAAACGGAGGCAAAAGGTACCAAAAGTCATTATCTTGCGAAAAAAAACATTTTTTCTAACAAAAATCAGGTTAACAAAAATAAAGGACTTTGGCTTTGACTTTTTTCAGGTTATAATCCTAAGACAAATTTGTATCTAATCGTATAATGAAACTGCTTGATGCATAATTAAGGTTCAAATGAATCAGTAATATTATTTTAACCTATGTAGATACGATATATTGCACATTGTGAAAATTGTTTAGTCGAGGATACATTTACACATACCGTAAACATCATCATTATTTAAATATTTAATTGGCCAACACAAATGTTGTGATTATTGTTTTGAAACTGCTACACATCCGATCATCAAGTTTAAGGTGTCGTTGGATAGGTCGTGACATGTAAATTTGCCATAAAACAAAACACATTTGAAATTCCATCAGGGCTCTTGCCCCAGTGGCCTTCAGCCAATTGAAAGCGTCAATATACGTTATTCAATTTATTTCAAATCACGGACGATTACTTAATATCAAACATTAGAATTGACAAAATAAATGTAAAAATAAACGGTATCAGCATTCTCTGAAACATAATTTCTCCCATAAGCTTGTTAACACCCTATATCATGGGAAAGCGGTGATAGTATATAGTTCAAAATCACAAAAGCTGAAATAACTTTTGGACCATAATTGTTACAGCAATGGGGTGTTGTACTATTTTTTAAAAACATTATTTGTTTATGTTAATAATCCATACTGGGTCTCTTCTAGTAT